CAGTCCAACCCCCCCCCCCCCAGCCCTGAAACAAGAAAGCGACAAAAACCCGAGGCGGCCGCTGATGGCAGCGTTGGCAGACGCAGGGATCCAGCAGCATCCGCCGTCACGCACGGGTCGCACCCCAGCTCTCTACAGCCGGTCTGATTTTCACTCAGAAGCTGTGGAGTTTTGCATCCTCAGCGAAGCGTGGTTCTGCCAAGCCAGCTCTGCCCCCCCTCGTTACGCATTTGCTGACCGCGCTGTCAGCCCACAGTTGGGCAGAAACGGGAAGAATTTGGGACAAGCCTGCTCTGTGCGGGTCTGGGATTTTTGCAAAGAGATGTGGAAGCCCTCTCCTGCCACTGTCAGAGGGAAGCAGGCCACCTTTCGGTTAGATTGTTTTCCCTCAGTTGTTTTAAGCTCTTACCGAAATACCGACTCTGTAGCTGCCCCCTCTCCGTGTAACCTCCTCTCTGCCGGAGCCCGCGGTCTGCCGGAGGTGGCTGCTCCTTCCACGGGCCGCTGCCGGCTCTGGCTCGCAGGGCTTCCTAACTCAGGAGACAGCACCGCGTTTGCAGGTGCGAGGTTATAAATAGCGTTCTGCTAAACCCTGTTTGTCGCTGTTTAGCACGATTGGGTCCTCAGTAACTAATTCCTGTGTTAATCACAATTTAGTTTCTCCCACATTAATTTATAGAATACTGTTGTAGATGCTGAATTTGAATTAAACTCTTTTTAGATGCATAAATACGGCCACATAGAACAAGGGACAGAGTACTGAATGGTCAGCGATTCTTCAATACCAAATGATCACAATCAGGCAAAATTGAAAAAAGAAATCCAGTTTAAGACTAATATTTTCAAAAGCGACGAGCTGTACTGAGTATCCGAGGTACAGCCTAGGCAGGGGTCTGATTTTTGGAAGAGGGCTGGATACCTGTCCGTGGAAAATCAGACCTCTGCAGGTCTTCTCCCCTTGGTTACCCGCCTCGGAAATCTCTTCTGGAAATCTTAGCCGACACGTACTGGCCTGCCAACTTAGCACAACAGCTGAGCAAATCTGTCGACTTTAAAAGAGTTGTAAAGTTATTTTATTTTGTGGTTTTATACTTGTACGACATTTTAAAGTTGCTAGGCATTGCCATATTTGAATATATGGCACAGCATTCACCTTTGTATGTAAGATATCTGTAGAATTGTATATTATACATTTAATATTGTAAAGAACTTAACGTATAATTGTCATGTATTTGTGTATGCACATTTCTTATACAGTACTTCATGCCATAAACATTTCTGTAAAGTAAATGATCAAAAATAAGCAAGTAGGGTGGAACACTCACTGTATCTCCCACGGTGTTTGAAAGAGGGGCGATGTTCGGATCGCGTCTCCTCCAGCCTTTCCCTCCGTTCAGCTTGATGTAGCCACATCTTACAAAAAGAAAAAAAAAAGTGTTTTATTTATTGCTTTCATACATGGAGTTCACTTTGAGTTCAGAGTGTCCTTACGTGATGGGTTCGGCTCCGTGTTTTCACGCGGCGCACACCGTTGCGGGGAGGGTCGCACGGCCCGTGCCCGTCCTCTCCGCCGCGGCAGCTCGGTGCTGCGGTCCCGCGGGGAGCCCTCGGGCTGGCCACGGTGGGGGCCGTCCGTTTGGTGCCCCACGTGGGG